AAAATTTAAATTTTGTGAGTTACTTAAAATTTTCAGCTAGCCAGTAAGCAACAGTCTATTTTTAAAAAGTGAAAATAGAATCCTTCTTTTACTTTTATTAAGCTCAAGTGTATATTGAAGTTTTAACAGTTCCTGGGTACTTGTAACTATGGTCGGTGTGCAATATTGAGATTATATGCGATGCCAAGTTTGTGCAATTTTCTGATTTTTGTTTCATGAAAGCAGATCACTGTGTGCATGGAGTGAACACAATAAAAAAAATTACAGAATGCTTTCTTAAAAAAGGCAAGTATATTTTATTTGTATTTTAACTTGCTAAAATGTGTTTTCTTTTGAATTACTGAAAATGTTTGCCACCACCCAGCCAATATAGTGCTTAAAGACACTGTCTATTGTAACGCAACAAATAATCTAGTTTCTACCAATTGCATATATTTTGTACATAATTTTTTTTTTTTTTTTTTTTTTTTTTGTAAATACAGTTTCATGTATAAGCAAATAGAACTCCTAATAAAGCAGAAGATTAAATTAAAACAACTAATACTACCAGACGTACTAAAGAAAATCTTATAATATCTATCAAGTAGGTTCTACTCTTATATTCCCTAAGATCACCAAATGTGGCGATATATGTTCTGCGCTGGTTTTTGGCATAATTGCGGTGGTTTTGGGGACAATGTTGTTTGCATGGCAACCCTTTTGACATTGAAACTTTATTCTTTTGTTGCAGTGGTTTAGTTGCTCACTGGTTCGTGTCGTATGTGTTTTGAAATCGCCTATGTTGCAATGATAGATGTGGTAGCAAGATTATAGTCGCATATTTTAGATTGTGTGGAAAGTAAATTTAGTATTAAAAAGTATGATGGTGGAGTTGTTAATGAGTCTTTTGTTCATGGGTGTGTTTATGAGGATCGAAGTGTATTTTTGGACTTTTTGTGGGACTTTTAAAACAGAGTCCAAAACGTGAAGCTGCTGCGAGAACTCGGACGAAGAGGGGCATTTCTGATAGTTCTTGTGTTGATTTGCAGTCAAATGCTTGCTGGTAAAGTATGTGGCTGTCAGCGGAGTTTAAGGCTTGGATCATGGTTTTCGTGTAGTAATTAACTTTGGAGGAAGTTCTTATCGTTACTTTCGAAATTTTGAATCGCAGAAAGCCATGTGATATACCAAAATCATGGCACATTTGTTCACAGACGTTATGTGACTGCAAAATTTTATTAACGAATGTAATATGGTAAGTACATTTTATTTTGTACAATGTTATATTCATTATTTTTTACTATGAATTTCTGTTTTATTGTTGTTTTTTAATTGTTAGTAATTTTTTAGTTATTTTGTTGATTTATATGCGCAATGCCTAGATGTGCAATTTGTAGATATTTTTTAAGTTTAAACAAGATGCTGTGCACATGGTTTTTTGAATTTATTGTTGTTAGTTAATTTATTAAAGCGAGGTGTGCGAGTTCGTGGATTCGTCATTGCCTAGATTGTGCATTCGTAATTTTTTTTTAAGCAAAACATATGCGGTGCATGGATTTGTCAAATATTTTTGGTTAGAACTTACATTTTTGCTATCTAAACTTCTTGTTTTTGTTTTGGATTTTTAGCTTAAATGTGTGTTCAAAACATGGTTTTTTGCATGTGCGAAAACCGTGTTGTTGGAGACATTTTAGGCTTAAAGTTCGAAATGTAGACAAAAAATTTAGATAGTAATATGGCACCACGGAGTTTCTTGCCAAGCGAGGGCATATATAAGAGTAGTCCCATCTAGTATTTTATGAATTGTCAGCTTTCATGCAATATTATGCAAACAAGAATGATACTTAAATTCAAGCATTCTGTATTTATGTATGTTCTAAAATTTTCATTAAACAGATTCAAATTTATATTTGGAAAAAAGTCAAGTATTGCAAACATATCGCATGAATGGGAACTACTCTTATATGCGCCCTCAGGTCGCCAAATTTCTCGCCAAACACCTTTGGCAGGAAACTCCACGGTGCCATATTACTATCTAAATTTTTTGTCTACATTTCGAACTTTAAGCCTAAAATATCTCCAAAAACGTGCACACAATTTAAGCTAAAAATCTGAAACAAAAACAAAAAATTTAGATAGCAAAAACGTACAGTTTCTAACCAAAAATATTTGACAAGAATCCATGTACACAACAATATGTTCTACCAAAAAAAAAAAAAAAAAAAAAAAAAAATCTACAAATTGCACAGTTTAGGCAACGAAAGAATACACTACACACACCTCACTTTAATAAATTAACATAACAACAATAAATTTGAAAGAACACCATGTACATAGCATTCTGTTTAAACTTAAAAAAAAAATTACAAATTGCACAATCTAGGCATTGCACACAAATCAACTAAATAAACTAAAATAACTAAAATAAATTACCAACAATTCAAATAACAAAAATAAATTACAAACATACAAATAACAACAGAAATTCATAGTACAAAAACAATGAACATAACATTCTACAAAATAAAATGTACTTACCATAATACATACATGAATTCAACAAAAGTGCCACGATTTTGCTATATCACGCCTTTCTGCGATTTAAAATTTTGAAAGTAATGAAAAAAACTTCCTCCAAATTTAACTTACTACATGAAAACCACAATCCAAATCTTACACTCTGCTGACAGCCACATACTTTAGCAGCAACCATTTGACTGAAAAACCACACAAGAATACCCTTCTTCGTCGGAGTTCTTATATCAGCTCTGGATTTCGGACATGCCAAACTCTGTTTTGAAAGTCCGGACTTCCAAAGAAACTCCAAAAATGCACTTCGATCTGCATAAACACACCCGTGAACAAAAGACTTGTTAACAACTCCAGCATCATACCTTTTAATACTAAGTTTACTTCCAACACAATCTGAAATACGCGACTGAAATCTTGCCACCATGTCTGTTTGACGTTTTCAACATCAAAAGGGTTGCCATACAAACAGCATTATCCACCAAACGATCCCACAGTATGGAATTGCACCAAAGACCAGTGCAAAACACATATTGCCACATTTGGTGATCTTAGGGCGCATATAAGAGCCCATGAATGTATCATCATTTAATTATAAAGAATTTTGTTGTACATAAACCATTACTTTTGCTTTCCTCACAGGTTTGCAATTCTTGAACTTCCATTGTACAATTAAATGTCTTTTGAGCTCTGACTTAGCTCAATGGCCAACTCGAACAGCATGAATCGCTTCTAATTCTATCAACAATGTGAATATTTTATGTCTCTACAACTACAACTGACAGAAATCTGCTGTGACTCTGATATGTTTATTCATTTGCCATACTGGTAAAAGTGCTTTTTGCTCTTTGCACAAATATATTAAAGCTACTGCTTAGGGCAGAATTATTAGATTATAGGTAAACAGCAACCTTGCTGAAGCCTATTGAACTGAGATGTTCCAAGTGAGACAAATGGACCGAGTTAAAATCCCAGAGTAGGCATATATGCTTGTAAACATATAATGTGCATTGCAAGGAAAGATTTAAAATACATGGTGAGCCGAAATCCTATCAAGAGGCTGGAAGTAGGAGAAGAGGGTGGGAAACCCTCAGATTGCCGACTATGGTGTTCTTTCTCAAAATATCATCTCAGGTGGAAGCTTAATAGTTAGCAAACCTCGGCAATACTTAATATGCATAGCTAAGATAAAAAGGCACTGGCTTTGTTTCAGCTTCTATCCGATAATGTTTGCCTGAATAGCGATTAATATCAATGGGTAGACAATCATTTTAAAAAAGTCGACAAAATTACCAACTTGCATCTAATAAGTATCTTTTCCTAGAGTGTTGATCCCCCTGGAGTTGTATATACTGGTTTAGTATATTGTTATGATAGTAGTGGCTCTTGTAAATACAATAACACAGACCCCATTCCTATGGCCAGAAAGGGCAGCTAATGCTGTCCGCAGTCATAGCTTAGTGCATCTGAGTGGGCTAAAACGATGGCCAGTAAGTTTTTGCCTTCTTCCCCCCCGGTGGTCTCCGAGATCTGTGGTGAAAAAAGAGCGCCCATGCTGCTTTGGGGGGCTCTAAAGAAAGTTCTTAAAAACGTCTGCATTGTTGAATTGAGGTTTTTAATAGCATAGCAAGCAAATTTGTTCTAATCCCTCTTTTGGGGCTTTTTCTGTGGACACTGAGCAGCCCTCCCGCCTAGTACGGAAGTTATTCATGTGGTGTTGCCTTAGTTGCAGGAAAGATAAATGCAAAATTTGATTGATTACTACAGTGTTAAATTAGTGGACTACAGCTTTGAGAAATTTATGAAAGTTTTATTTTGATCCAAAGTTTTATACTGCAAGCACAGCCAGCACCACAGCAGTGTAACCAGAGCTGACAGCACCATGAAGCAAAATTTTAGAATTTCAACAGGCAATGGATGGCAGAATTCATTAAATATTTACATTTACTGCACTGGACAATAAAAAACATAGCGCTGTCCCCGACTGCATGCTCATTTTGCAATTTGCCTATTGCAACATTCTCCTTCATAGCAGAGCATGATTATTTTGATGCTCATTCGTTTCACATTAAACTGAAAAGCTCTCTTTGCAACTATAATAATCAATAAATTATGCTCATTTCAACTCATGCTCTGCATTATATTCCTTTAATCATACAATTAAAAAAAATGGGAAACCAGAAGGCAAATGGCATCAATATAACAACCATTTGGCACTTGCAAATAAATAAATACTTTCTATGATCAGAAATATAATACTTTTTATAGTAAAAAAATACAGTATTTTCTATTAAACTTCCTATAAAAGAAAAAATGAAATAGATGGTTTTACAATCATGAATCAAGGAATTAGTAATGAAGGGAAAATAAGAAAAATTATTTATGTACGATAAAATCAAACAATTTACAACTGCTGAGGCAGATAGCCCTAGTGTGCTTTGCCATAATTAAATACACCAACACCACACCTTACAACTGCTGGGAACACTTACATAAAATGGCTCTGGATGTTGCAAAGTATAGATCTCATCTGAAGCAAGACGAAAACACACTGGTATTTGGCCATCCCATATTTCTCTAAGCACTTCTCGATCTTCGGCCATGCTATCAACATAAATGAATAAAACTTTACAAAACACACGTGAAGTCCTTATATATGCAAAAAAAATTCCTAGATAAGAAGAAAAATAAAAACCTTGAGTACATTTAAATTTAGGAAATAAATTAATTTTTCATTAAATTATAGATAAATAAAGTATACATAGGAAGTCAGTAATCCAATTTAATGGCATTTAATTAGCAGCTTTCATAATTTTCCAATATTAAAATAAATGCAATATTTTGAAATTTTAAGCTATTAAAATAATCATTAGTTCTTGATTAAAAGTGTGACTAATATGGAATGCTAAAAGTAAAAGACTGTATATAATTTAAATATTTACAGTATATTATAATAAACAGAAAAGTAGTAAAATGTTCTCAGAAATAGGTCTAATATAATTGGCAATAGAGGCGTTCGATATACCATGACCATGAATGTACAAATACTCATATGCTGTAAAATTACTTCAAAGAAAAGAGTGTTATATGTATGATCTCCTACACCCCTTATATCAATCATTTACAGATTAAAATGGGCATTTAAAATACAAAAATTTCTGACGTGTGATCACGAAAACTTTCCTCTTGTAATAGTTCATTTTAATGGCTACAAAGCTAAAATAAAGCAAGTAATTCACTTGCAATTTTCTCACCTACCTGTTTAACAATAATGTAAACCCTGATTACCTAAAAAACAATAAAATAAGGTAGCAGCATCTGCACCCAATTTTAACTTATTTTTATGACTTATTGTTTAGCATATTCAATGCACTTGAATTAGAGTAAATATTCACAATGATGAATTTACTCCTGTACATTCTGTAGACGAATTTACTGAAAAGTGAAAGCTAATTCCATATTGCCAAATTTGAAAAACAAAATTTAACCGGTGAATAGATTAAATTTTTCATATTTGCTATGTAAAGAATTGTAAATAAAAATCTTTTCCCATTTCATAGGAATGAAAAATTTCTACTTCTTTTGAAATAAAAATGAGATTTTAATAGTTAATTCTCAGAGTGAAAAAAAAAAGAACTATTACACGATTTTTAACTACTACTTCAACTTCTCTGTGTAACGAAAACAACGTGAAAACCATAAAATGGATCGAGTTGTGTAAGTTATTTATTTGTTTTATTTTGTGAATCCTTATGTCTGTGAATTTTATGATATGTAATCACTCTGAAATTAAATATCTGCGTATGATATTCATTAATTGTAAAACAACTGTTAACTCCTCTAATGTTGCTGTACTTTATCAGCTGCTTAGCCGGCAATTTTTTACCAATCTTGTAACATGTGTAATTGTTAAGCAGTAAGATACTTTTTCGTTACGCACATGCCACTAGTGCTACCGTAGGGTGCGTTATATAATCTTTCACAGACACCAAAAAGCCTGACAGGTTCAGAGCAGAAAAGTACCAGTAATAGTAGTAGCTAAGAATAGACGTGTGTGTAAAAATGAGACATAAATATGAATCACATAATTATAAATTATAAACTACCTAAAAAACAAATAATGCAGTCATCAATTTCCTACAAGTGCCTAACACAGTAACTGAAAAAAGTGATTGTTTGAAATATGAATCCACAATGTATTATTCGTGTTTAATCATGTTCTATTCATGTATCGAATCAACATTACACTCTGTGCACTGAAATCGAAATTCATAACCACTTCATGAATTTTTCCTACATGTATGAAAAATTTATGAAATAGGCATGAATCATCAATATGTATATTTATGGGTTCTCTTAAATTGGATCCTAGCAGAGTCCACACCCTTGGTGCACTCACTTACATGGCACGTATCGATGTTTACATGGACAAAGTCAAGAGAGTGTGCAATGCCAAGTTTGTGCAATTCTCCGATGTTTTTTAAAGTGAAAATAGGTTGATGTGTACATGGATACCAAGTTTATGCGATTCTTTGACTTGTTATTTTCAAGTTGGTGATTTTTCACTTTCCCAGTTTGTTGCCAAGGGTGTGAACTCTCCTAGGTTTTTACCCTCTTCTGTTTTCAGGACCGGATTCAGAAATATATGTGTGTATGCAAATGTGTATGTGTTTCTTTACATGCACATACATGTACATATACAGTCAAAAGTCGTTAATCCAGACTCGTCAGGACTTCGGCGATTCCGGATTATAGATCATCAGTTTAAATCTGGTAAGATGGCATGCAGAAATTATAATTAAAATATGAAACCGTAATTATGAACAAGAACAATTATGATCAAAATTTACAAAAAAAAAGATTAATATAATTTGTTTACTTATTAAACATTTTTAATTGTAAGTGGTTTAAGTTGCCTTCGTTTATGTGATAATACTTTCTCTTTAATTCTATAACAGACATAATTTCTTTTTAAGTTACAAAGTTCCGCTGTCAAGTATATAATTGCTGTGTCGAGAATACCCTAATTTCAATCGAAATTTTTTTGTTTTCAATAACTCTGTGTCACTTTCTTCACTATCAGAAGCAAAATAAAATGATGATGATGATTTAATCATATCGAAGCGCAGTTACATTGAGATGAATACTATTTAGTAAGGAATTATATGCCGAATAAATAAAAAACTCTACCCTGAAGAGAAGATAGTGCGACACATTCAACTTCCAATTCATTGCGCGCCGCCGTTTCCCCCCCCCCCTGCTGCCGCAGAGCAGGTGAAATGGATAAACAATTTCGGATAATGAGAAACATATGTCTTTATCCATTTTTTGAAGCAATTCCACTTTTTGCTTGAGGGACATCAAAATATACAGCTCCAGCATCGGAAATTCTATTTGACATGATCGAAAGTTCAAGCTTACTTTTATAAAATTGCTCTAACAGTCTGCAAAAAATAATAAGCCAGATCCAATTTGAAGATTAAGGAACAACGCAATCTGCAACATTAACTGAAATAGATAATTAGATAATTTTAGCTTATACCGTCCGTTATAAATTAAACGCGCATGCGTAAACGTATTATGCGCACACGCATATGCGCAGCCGTAAAGGTCTTATGTGCATGCGTCAAAGCGACGCTTGTGCAGAAAGTTTGTAGCTGTGAGGTCTGAATTAATGACTTTTGACTGTACTGCCTAAAATCCACTGTCGTGGATGAACTCTACTAGAATGATTCTTTCTGTTTTTCCGATTGAATGTTTTCTCATCATATCATTATGCATTTCCCTCATTGAGTTGTTCCAATCAACAACTTCTGTATGTTCCATGTTTAATTGCTTGTTGGATCATCGTAATGAAGTGAGTTCCTCGCTTCGATAATACGTAAATCGCAATGCAGTGAGAAACAAAATTCACGATCTATTAAATCAATGCCCATGTGAAGATTCTTTTACTTTTTAAAATTTCTGATTTTGCATCTTCAAATAAGTCTCTTCTCCAGTGTACAAATGCACCTCATGAGCATTTTCACAAATTCTTTCGCAGAGCAAAATAAATTTGTGTTGTAAAAAAGGCTATTGCGGCGTCTTTCGTCTATGGCAGATTGAAAATAGTAAGCATTTTTGCGAAGAAAAATTTCTTAAATGGATGAAGCACAGATGACATGCCTATAGACTGTTGAATACAGTGAAAAACGCTTGCAGTCTTCCAATTCTCACCATGTGCCGACTCGCACCAGAATCGCCATTAATTCACACCGAGGCTGTGGAATTTTTATAAAAGAACAGTATCCAAATTTTTATAACAAAATTTCTGAATTTTGTTTTCCACCAAGTTCACACAGAAATTGTAATAATCCAAATTCAGAATATGCATTTTGGTTAATCTTTGGATTATAGTAACTTAACAATTTTTTGGCGAAAATTTGGCGACCAACTCTGCTACAGCAACCCTCTATTTTTTTTTTCGCCTCCATTTTGTCTTCACGAAGTAAAAGACATGTTCTTTTCTTTTATTTACTCAACACACTTTTTCCAACAATCTCCTAGCATTACACTTATGTAGAAATTTTATGGAACAAAACTACTTAATCATGACAAATATTAACTGCAAAATTGGGAAAAAAAAAGTGCAGAATCGCAAACTCCTTGCCCGTTTTTCAGAACCGCACATACACGTAACCATGTACACGTCGACTTATTTTACTTAAAAAAAATCCCAGATGCAAAAAAAATGGCATAGCGCACACTCTTGACTTTATCCATCTACACTGCATTTTCTCATAAATTACAAAAATTTGCACGAAAATGCAGGAAAATTTGTGATCTTTAAACTCGGTAAAAAGCACATATATGAAATTATCTGATCACGAAAAAGTATATACCCAATCCAAGAATGAACATTTCCACGTATAATATAAATAAAATATCCAAAAACTTTACCTCTAAATTATCTATATAAACGTCACCAACGAATTTATAACCATTAAAAATGGTTGCAAATACTCGTGTCAAATATTTAAATTATTTCCATGCATGTTTACTTCCACTGAAATGTATACCAAATTGCTACAAACATATAATTCACAAAATAATATCATTTAATTAAAATATAATTAAATTAAAAAACACTACTTAAAATATAAATAAGCACATACATTAATTAATAAAAATAGCTTACAATCCTAATTTTACTAAACTAAATCATGCTAATAACAATTTTCCAATAATACCATATTAATTATTACCCTTACATTAGAACAATGCATAAAAATAATATCCTCAATAATTAAAAAACTAACTTACCTAATCTTCTCAGAATCTTCATTACGTCGTGGATAAACTTTTCTTATTTCCTCCGAAGTACTAACTTTTGGGTAGAATTAGGGTTTGTTTTTGTTTTTTTTTTTGTTTTTTTTTTTTTTTTTTTTTTTTTTTGTTTTTTTTTTTTTTTGTTTTTTTTTTATTAAGCAGGTAGAATATACGCTTAATAAAACTTAATAAGCAATCTTTACTTCTATCTCGCGCACAACCTTAAAAAAAAAACTATTACTTCCCTTTCAATCCCACTAAATACAGTCAAAAGTCGTTAAAATCGGACTCGTCAGGACTTCAGCGATTCCGGATTATAGATCAAGTTTAAATGGTAAGATGGCATGCAGAAATTATAAAATTAAAAAATTGAAACTGTAATTTATGAATAAGAACAATTATGATCTAAAGGTGTCAAAATTTACAAAAAAAAAAAAAAAGCTTAATATTTATTGTTTACTTTATTAAATATTTCGGTCGGTGATCTTTACATATGGTAACTGGTTAGTTTGGCGACATTTTGGAGGCGATAAAGGTTACTACCTGGGACTTTGGTAATAATGTGAGCAGTACTCAGTTCCGATACGCATTATTTTTGTGAGGGAAATGAGAGATCATGGGATATGCATGTGATATTAATGGACGAATTAGGGTTCTTTAATCGGAACAGGGGGAAATCGGGAAAAAATCTGGAAATTTTGTATTTGGCTTTATTCTGTGTTGTGTGAAACAGTGTTTATGAATTTTGGATCCCATGGCCGTAACTAAAGTGATTCGAAATGGGTATATTGTATGTATTAATTTAATGTATGTGCTCATTTATATTTAAGTAGTTTTTTGAATTAATTATATTTTAATTAAATGATAGTTATTTGTGATTTTATGTTTGTAGGAATTTGGTATACGTTTAGTTGAAGTAACGTGCATGGAAATAATAAAATATTTGACACTAAGTATTTGAAATGTTTGCAGTATGAATTCGTTGGTGACGTGTATAATATATAAATAATTAGAGGGTAAAAGTTTTTGGATATTTTATTTATTTTATATGTGAAATGTTCATATTTGGAAAGGGTAAATACTTTTTCGCGATCAGGTAATTTCACATAGTTCTTTTACCGGGTTTAAAGATTGAGAAAATTGTCATGTATTTTCGTGAAATTTTTCTAATTTATGAAAAAAAGCAGTGTACATGGATAAGTGAGAGTGTGCGCAATGCCTTTTTGTGCAATTCTGGGATGTTTTTTTAAGTAAAAATAAGTCGACGTACATGGTTTAGTGATATTTTAATTAAATGATAGTTATTTTGTGAATTTTATGTTTGTAGGAATTTGGTACACGTTTAAGTTGAAAGTAAACGTGCATGGAAATAATTTAAATTTTGATACTAAGTATTTGTAATGCTTGCGGTATGATTCATTGTGATGTGTATAATGTAATAGATGATTTAGAGGTAAAAGTTTTTGTATTTTATTATTTTATGTGGAAATGTTCATATTGGAAAGGGTAATACTTTTTTTTTTCGCGATCAGGTAATTTCATATGTTCTTTTTACGGGTTTAAAGATTGAGAAAATTGTCCATGTATTTTCGTGAAATTTTTCTAATTTATGAGAAAAAGCAGTGTACATGGATATAGTGAAGAGTGTGCGCAATGCCATTTTTGTGCAATTCTGGGATTTTTTTAAGTAAAAATAAGTCGGCGTGTACATGGTTTATGGTGTATGTGTTATTTGAAAAACGCGTAAGGAGTATGGTATTGGCACTTTTCCCAATTTTGCAGTGAATATTTGTCATGATTAAGCAGTTTGTTTTGATAAATTTCTAGCGTAAGTGTAATTCGGCTAGTAGATTGTGGAAGAAGTGTTTCAGTAGATAAAAAGAAAAGAAACATGTCTTTACTTCGTGAAGACAAAATGGCGGTGGGGAAAAAAAAGAGAGGGTTGCTGTAGGAGAGTTGGTCGCCAAAAAATCGCCAAGTTACCATAATGTAAAGATCAACCAATATTTCTTTTAATGTAATTTGTTTCATTTTTTATGGGATAATACATTCTCTTTAATTCTTTAGACAGACATAATTTCTTGTTCAGTTACAAAGTTTCGCTGTTCAAGTCCTATAATTGCTGTTTCGAGAATACCGACTAATTTGTCAATTGAAATTTTTTACCTCTAAATTATCTATTACAAACATCACCAACGAATTTATAAGAAAACATTAAAAATGGTTACAAATACTGAAAGGCATACTTAAAAGGTATTGTATTCGTCAGTATTAAAAATAGTGATAACTAATACTCTTGTTAATATTTCATTAAATTTTGTAACATACTTATGCATTCAGAGATAAAAAGAATTAAATGAAGCTGCTGTCACCTAAAAAAGCATTTGTGCAAAACAAAGTAACAGAGGCGCATAACTTTTGGCCTGCTTACAAACATCTTCACAAGCTAAACATGCACACAATCTGTGATATGTGACTTGTGACATCATCTTGCATATGTTAAAAATATTATGAAGTATCTATAAACATATTTTCACAATCATTCATTTGTAAAGTACCAAAAATACAGATTATGTTGTGTATACATTCACTCTGGCAACAAGCACGGTATATGCCAGTGTCACTTAGGGTTTGAGTTATGAGTATGTCGAAGTGTTGTCTTGCATATCAAATATGCTTTTGTATGAAATATTAATGTAAAATTTTAATATTTATTATTAATTATTATCAATTTTCTCCCACAGGAAACCTAAAACCAAAGTGGGAAAACGTGCTTTAGAAAAAAAAGAACCCAAACTCATTGAAAATGATAAGAAAACCATCTTTGTACGTGGTACGAATGCAAATAGTATTGTTCTTCAAGCCATGAAAGACTTTGTAAGTATTGAAATTTTGTAATGTGTGGAACTTTGTTATACAAAATTTAAAGCATTTGCTGTTTTTTTTTTACTTTTATAGGATGTTATATACCAGACGCATTTCTGCACCAGTTTGATACTTCCACTGAAAAAATATATTTTCATCATCAGTTCATTTTAACTGCACTAATTTTTTTTTTAATTATAAGAAATATATTTGTACAATTAGAATGCTCACTTATGCCTGAATAAGGAAAACCGCTGATCACTGTTAATTGTGGTAGTTCAGTCCAGGTTTCAAATCCTGGCAAATGGGCTGACTGCATGAGCATTTTGAGGTTTTTTCCCATGTGTAGACTAGATATGAGCCAGTTTCTGTGAAAATCACAGGGTATCCTTCCCTTTCTGTGTAGCGCCTAATGGCAGAGCATGTAACAATAAATATGCGTAGAATAATTATTTTGGTTCTGGATTATCTGCACCCTCACTAGAAAGCTAAAAAAATATTATTAAAGAACACACCATGTCAACAAAAGACAAACATGTGACAACCTACAGTGTAGCCGGAAAGTAGTTATATGGTACTCCAGATGTTTGTGTGGCATCCAAGTTGACTTTAATTTCTTTGTATATTTGCACCAGCAATGACTACAGATTCTGATCCCTCTCATAGGAATTTCAGCATTTTGCGTAGTAGTGGATTGTGCGCTGCAGTTTTCATTCGCTTGCATGAAGATATTATTGATCATTTTTCCCCTTCTCATTTTAGGATTTTAGAGCCAAGTTTGAGCAATTCTCTGGTATATTTTGTAGTGAAGCCAGATCGCTGTGTACATGGGAAGAACAAAGCACACACAAAAAAAAAGGAGAACTGTACGTGTTCTGCTATTTATGGGGAAGAGTAATGGAAAAACGTTTTTAAAAAAGTTTCTAATAATATTCTGTGCTTGCATATTTTTCCACTGATTATATTTGACAAACTGCTGCAAATGAGTGTATTTTGGTGCTAGTAATGGGTAAAGCAAAATAAATGACATGAAAATACGCTGAAACTGAGAAGCTGTGGAATTTGGCACAATAAGAAACACCACATAGATTTGTATTTAAATGAATCAATGTAGTGTTAAATTCTCAAAGAAAGTGGTGATTTTATTGCTGTTTTAAACACTGTTTGTGATTCTTAGCTGTTGGAATAATTAGATACTTTTAATGAATTTTTTGAGATGCTGAACACTGGTAGTTTGGTTCCTGCCAAACGGGCATACTGCATGGGCGTTTTCGTGGTTTTCCCCATGTGTCACGTGTATACGAGCCAGTTTCCCTTAAAAAGTTGTCCCATCCCTTAAGCAGATAGCACTTGTGTGCTTTGTTGTATATCAAATACATCCTCTTAATGAATTTTTGGTACAACTCTAATATACGCCCTAATTTCACCAAATGTAGCGATATGTGTTCTGCGCTGGTTTTTGGCGAGATTGCGTGTTCTATGGCAACCCTGTTGACGTTGAAAAATCTTTCGCTGGAGCTCGTTGGTTCGCCTCTGTGTCTGAGAAGATGGGGGGAAAGATAAAATGGTAGTTGTTGAATTGAAGTTCGGCAAAAGGAAATATGATTGTGGCTATCCTGTTGAGGGGTAGTGGGTATTTAGAAGTGTGGAAAGAGGGTCTGGGAGATTATTTTTAATGGCAGTGCATGATGGAAGTAGGGATTTGTGATTTTATTATATTGTGAACCATAGTATAAATTTTCTGGATAGTGTGTCTGGCTGTCATGTAAATATGATAGTGATTACGTGGCGGTATGAAATTTATATTTCTGCTATTTGAAAACGCATTAATTCATAGTAAGTGCATTTTATTTTATCCTTGTTCTTATTTTGTAGAATGTTATGTTCATTGGTTCTTTAGTATGAATTTCTGTCGTTTTGTTGTTTTTTTAAATTGTTTGAAATTTATTTTAGTTTATTTTGTTGATTAGTATCTAGACTGTACAATTCGTTAATGTTTTTTAAAGTTGAAACAGAACGCTGTGTACATGGTATTATTTGAAATTTATTGTTGTTATGTTATTTTATTAAAGCGAGGAGTGCGTAGATCGTAGATTCCTTCCTTGCCTAAATTGTGCAATTCGTAGAATTTTTTTAAAGTTTAAACAGGATGCTGTGTACATGGTATTCTTTGAAATTTATTGTTGTTATGTTAATTTATTAAAGCGAGGTCTGCGTAGTTTGTAGATTCATTCGTTGCCTACATTGTGCAATTCGTAGATGTTTTTTTTAAGTTAAAACCTGTCGCTGTGTACATGGATTCTTGTCAAATATTTTTGGTTAGAAACTTTACGTTTTTGCTATCTAAATTTTTTGTTTTTGTTTCGGATTTTTAGCTAAATTGTGTGTTCAAAATGTAGTTTTTGCATGTGCGAAAACCGCGTTTTTGGAGACATTTTAGGCTAAAAGTTCAAAATGTAAACAAAAAATTTAGATAGTAATATGGCAGCGTGAAGTTTCTCGCCAAGAATATTTGGCGACGGGAGGGCGCATATCAGAGTAGTTCCGAATTTTTTACATATTGTAATTTTTATGGAAGAAAGGGTGCATCAGCATAAATAGCGTACTCGAGAGAAATGGTGTGGGAAAAACTAAAATTACACAGAAACGCCGTCGTAAACACTGCAATAAACTAAATTGACATTTAATTTATTGCAGTGTTTACGCCGGTGTGACATCATCATGAACCTTATAGACGCAACACCGTGACCTGTGTGAACCATAACTCAAACCATGACACCATGAAACATAACTCAAAAATAAATTATTGGTAAGAAATTTTGAAAATATATTTATGTTCACAAGTATATTTATATCTGCTCACTAAAGAAGTCCATGTTTGTAATACTCATACTATATTATAAAAAATATTGGTATTATAAACTCATATAAAATATATCATACTATATTATAAAAAATTTCAGTAATAAATTTTATCATCAAGATAACATTTTGAAAGTGCTCCCAAATTTGGCAACTGCTAAAGTATGTTAACCCTTTGGTGCGCGCAATATTATTTTTATAATTTTTTTAACTAAAAACTCTAGAAATTGAATATTATGATCCTAGAGACAAATAATGTATGAATTAAAAAAAATCTACTCATGCCCATTGTTTTGTGGATGGTGGTTCACACTGTGAAACCACCGCATGTCTAGGATTTTGAAACTTACCTAGGAGAAAAAAACTTACCTTTTTCCGTGCGCGTTTCCAGTAAATGACAAAATTTATGAATTTAAAAAAAAAAAATGCATTTAAGAATTGCATAATATATATTTTTCACATTATTTTACAAACTAAATTGTCATAAAAAATTAAAAAATAAACATTTATGTAATTTTTCTGGGTTGATCTCTACAATATGGTAACTGGTAGTTTGGCGACATTTTGGAGGCGATAAAGGTTACTACCTGGGACTTTGGTAATAACGTGAGCAGTACTCAGCTCCGATTACGCATTATTTTGTGTGAGGGAAATGAGAGATCATGGGATATGTCATGTGATATTAATGGACGAATTACGGTTCTTTAATCGGAAAAGGGGGGAAATCGGGAAAAAATCTGGAACTTTTGTATTTGGCTTTATTCTGTGTTGTGTGAAACAGTGTTTTGTTAATTGTTGGATCCCATGGCCGTATCTAAAGTGAATTCGAAATGGGTATTTAGTGATATTGAAAAGGGTAGTAATAAATGTTTCTTTAAGGTTGTGCGAGATCGAAATAAAGATGTATTATTAACCTCTTTATTTTACCTGGTACCTTGCTGTGAAATATAAGTATGATTTTAAAGATCCTTAAACAGAAAGAAGAAAAGTTTATCGGACACATAATCAAGATTCTGAGAAAGATTAGGTAAATTAGTATTTTTAATTATTTGAGGATATTATTTTTATGCATTGTTCTAAATGTAAGGTGGAAGTAAAGGAATTTGGTATTATTGGGAAAATTGTTATTAGCAATGATTTAGTTTAAAGTAATTAGGATTGTAAGGTAGGTAATTTTTATTATTTAATGTATGTGCCATTTAATTTTGTAGTGTTTTGAATTTAATTATATTTAATAAATTATAGTTATTTTGTGAATTTATGTTTGTAGGAATTTGGTATACGTTTTAGTTGAAGTAAACGTGTGCATGGAAATAATTTAAATATCTGACACTAAGTATTGTAATGGTTGCGGTATGAATTCGTTGGTGACGTGTATAATGTAATAGATGATTTGGAGGTAAAAGTTTTTTGGATATTTTATTTATTTTATATGTGGAAATGTTCATATTTGTAAAGGGTAAATACTTTTTCGCGATCAGTAATTTTATATATGTTCTTTTTACCGGGTTTAAAGATTGAGAAATTGTCATGTATTTTCGTGAAATTTTCTAATTTATGAGAAAAAAGCAGTGTACATGGATATAGTGAAGAGTGTGCGCAATGCCATTTTTGTGCAATTCTGGGATGTTTTTTAAAGTAATAAGTCGGCGGTGTACATGGTTTATATGTATGTGTTATTTTGAAAAATGCGTAAGGAGTATGGTATTGTGCACTTTTTTTTTCCCAATTTTGCAGTGAATATTTTGTCATGATTAAGCAGTTTGTTTTTGATAAAATTTCTAGCGTAAGTGTAATTCGGCTAGTAGATTGTTGGAAGAAGTGTTCAGTAGATGAAAAGAAACATGTGTTTACTTCGTGAAGACAAAATGGCGGCGGGGAAAAAAAAAATAGAGGGTTGCTGTAAGAGAGTTGGTCGCCAAAAAATCGCCAAGTTACCATAATGTAAAGATCAACCTTTTTCTGTAGCAGTGAAAGTATAAGAACCTACATAATAAGGACGTTTGGCTACATGCATTAAAAACTTAGTAAAATAAGGATTAAAAAAAAAACTCAGTTTTTTTTTTAAATTTCAAAGAAGCAAATATTTTTTGTGACACTATTCAAAGCATGTTTTGTCCTTTTTGGTGCATGCATAGACCCACATTGCACATTTCTCACATGTATCTTCTTCTATGATGGTTTCTTCCTTATGCTACAAAACGTACACTGCCTGGACCTAAATTTCGCTGGTATATAAATTTCACTGGTATATGTTTCACTGGATATCAATTTCTTTTCATCTAGCACATGTAAATATGTCCAGCGTTTTTTTTAGTTTTTTTTTTCCATCTGGCACATAATTTTTTTTTATGTTAATTGGGGGGGGGGCTTGGTCTTTGTGGCTTTGGTATGGATCATTTGTTTCCCATTCATACTTATTTTATTCGATACTTCGTTCTCAGAATGTTTCAGAAAATAGTTTTAATTTAAATAAAACTTTATGCAATTTCTATTAATTCTATTAATTATAGCAAAGGTATATTTACATTAAATTTAAACCACAGGAAATAATTTATAAAATCGCAGTACTAGCTTGGGGAGCAAGTGTGTTGAGGTCAGAGAAAAGTCTCTAGAAAAGAAAGACCTTTTTACTGGGCAGGTGCATGTATTGTTTAGTAATAAAATAACTCTGTGATTTCAAAACCCCTTATCTATATCCAGATAAAAATGAACATTCCTATTTCAGGGTTCGTACGGTCCTTAAATTTTTTTAAATCGATTTTTGGTCTTTAAAAGTCCTTAATTTTGGCCAAAATCAGTAGAAGGTCCTTAATTTTTATCATCTGAAATTTCTCTCTGTTTTTACGACTGCCATTTTGAGTGTGAATTAGCATTTTGGAGGAATAGTTTTGGCAGTTCACTGACGTATATGGTTATCTTTTGAATGGGTTCATGGGTTATAATTTGTTTCTATTTCTAATATAAATGATGGGATACTCGAGTTTCTAAGCAAGAAATGAAACATAAGCATTTCGAAATTCATTTTTTCTAATAAAGAGCTCTTAAACAACTTTTCGCTTTTGGGGTTGTGAATTCTTTTATTAAATGGTTCTAAATTTGACAACTTGTCAACATTTTGGTGATTTTAAGATCAGTTTCTATAGAAAACTTTTAATTCCGAGATCTGAGAATTTTTCAGCGATGTTTTTAAAACATCGTCACATTGATAAATTTCATTAAAATAATGGTAATATATTAGAATTATATTTAAAAAATAACATTAAAATAAAACATTTTTATTTTTCGCTGTCATATTATAAAGTTTCATTTTGGCAACTTTATTATACAATACTTTAAATCTGGAAAATAAACAATCTATAGCTATAAAGCATAATTTACGAAAACAGCTCTTAGTAAAAGCAAAATTAGCTATGTAATTAATTAAAAATGTCTTCTTTTTAATTTTTTCATAGTAAGCGTTTTTCCCATGTAATTGTCTCAGATTATTCAAAATTCTCAGAATATGCATCAGTTTTCTCTATAAAATTTATTTTACACTTTTTCCTTCCTTTTTTTTTCAAAATATTTTTGCCTTTTTGCTGTTACAGAATTGGTTAGGATAATTTTTCTTTAATATTTTTTACATTGCAGCATGGAAAGCTTAGAAGGATTTGAAGGCAAGATTTATAAACCCACGATTCTAGAAGGTTCGAGAAATATGTGACAAAATGAAAAATGTCTCCATGGTATCAACACGTAATGGATGCACTTTACAGAAAGTTTGCGATGAATTTCTTACGTTTTGGAGAACGTCTGGAAGAACAATGGAAGCATAATATTTGAATGTTTTACTCCTGATAGTAGAATCTTTTTTCTTAACATGTTTATCTTCCCTTTATTTTCTCTACTTTTCACTAGACAAAAGCATGAAAAATATCAAAAATGCTTCTCACTTGGGCAGGATTACAGAAAGATATTTTTTATTAATAAAGAAATTGAAAAATCAATTTTACAATCTAATTCTAAATGCATCGTTACACAGAGCTGGTGCTATGCATTTTCCCACCTGATGCAATCTCTGTGTAAATCTGCTGAAATTTCTTCTGCTTTCAGTGCCTGAAATTAAAAGTTTTGCCAGTTCTAGATTTTAAAAGTTTGCCATTTCTAGATTTTGTTGTTCTGTGTGTCATAAATTCTAAAAATTCTGCCATACCAGCTCTGTAACCGGCCTTTACCATATATATCTAAATGCATACAATCTAAATGCATTTAGTGTTTTTTAGAATAACAGAAATCTTTAATTAAATCCAAAAATGCTAAAATTAAAAGGAAACACGCTGAAGAATGAAACCGAATACATAAAGAAAATTATTCTTCAAAGATATGTGCAGTTATTATGTAAATTAACTGATTGTTTATCATTTCGGCCTTTACTATAACTTCCCATTTCTGTTTCCTCATATGATAGAGTTACTGAGTGAGATTAAATTTAAAATAAACTGTATTATCTTTGACCACCAGTCCACATTTTTAGTTTCAATTTGACTGTTCTTGTCTAATTACGTCACCGTGAGCTGTAATTGACTTTGTTAGCATCAGAACATGCTTATGTTCTAAGTTCTTTGTCTGATATTGCAGTTACTTACAGATACAGTGATGATTTGCTTCACCTCTATTGGGGGGGGATTATTTAACTTTTACAAGATCAAGTAAACCCTCATAGGTACATAGTGGAGAGGTTGACAAGTTAGGAGATAAAGCACACAGAAACTAGCGAGAACATTGGTTTGCATATTGAGACAAATTTCTAATTATTTTCATAAAAGATTGATAATTAAAGAGAAGGAAATTGATATAAACTAGCCAAAATGTTTGGGAAGGCTTGTAGAGACATTAGGTATTTTTGAAAGCAGGAAAGATTAAAAAATTGACAACACTTCGCCGAGAATCAAACTGTGGATCTCTGGAATACCGCTACCAGTGTGCAAACCATTACACCACGAAGGGTCGCCAAGAAGGTGGGAGAAATAACCTTATATACTCCTTCTTTTTAAAGGGCGACTGGGGGTTTTAGGGGATCCAATCGCGAAATCCTTTGTGTGGAGAAACATCATCCAACACCCATCAAGTAAAACTTATTCTTTGCATCTATTGAGACTTATATATAAAACAACTTATCACCTCCGGGGCTTTAATGGCTTATTGGAAACTTAAAGTATATTAACAGGGTTACAACCGCTGGAACTCTACACAAAGCTATGACATTAACTGCATTAAGCAGAGCTTGACTAACTTTCAACACTTGCCAACCGTGCCTACATCAGGCCTTTCAGGTTTGTTCCAATCAGCAGGTCTCTCAATAGACAACATTCAGTCTTTTGTTATGAATCATGCTGATTATGATCTCACTTTAACCTATGCCGTTTGACATAAAATCTCCCTACTATTTGCTAAACCTCTAGACTGACCAAGTATGTGACAAAATGAGACCACAAAAAAAAAAAAAAAAAAAAAAATTCAGCATAAAGCTAACTATTAGTAAAACGTAAATGTCACTTATCTTCTTTTAAATATGTCCAACTATTATAAGTGTAAAATATTTAATGCTACTTTATAAACTGCATGAAGTTTATTTTATTCTCAAACTTATTAATAATTATGTTAATTAATTCATGTTTAGTAATAATGCATGCTACTTAGGGATCTATTTTATTTTTAGGATGGTATTACAAAAGTGAAATTAAGGCATATAATAATATTTTTAATTGATTTTATTCAATTCCCATTTGCTCAACAGTCCTTAATTTTTTTCATTAATGGTCCTTAAAAGTACTTAATTTCCGTGTGCAGAAATGTGTATGAACCCCGTATTTGAGAAGCAAGCAAATGCCATTGTGAAGAGCAGTGGTTTCAAGGCGTGACCACCGAGCCTCTAGAGAATTGTGACACAATGCTGTAGTGCGGCAGTGGTCGTACCCTGAAACCACAAAGCAAATGGCATACATGTAGAGGATTTTTTTTATATATGCAGTTTAATTATTGCTATTTTTTATTGTTTATGATAGAAATCATGATGTCCTATGAATAACTTTTGAAATTTAAAGTTGTTTATGTTAATAAAAGGAAGTTATTTTGTCTCATTGAAAACGAATTTTAAAAGGCATCCGATTTGAATTACTAAGACCTAAACCATGTATGATTCTGTAGTCATTGTGTGTTATTTAGAGGTAAAAGATCAGTAATCAATTGATTTTGATGAAGGAAGAGGAGGAAAAAATTCGAAAATTGGTGGTTTCAAGGCGCGACCACCGCGCGTCAAAGAGTTAAATACAGTTCTGCATTGTATGAACATTCTGAAAGGTTTCATAAGAAAATATTAGTAACAGTCTTTCCACTGTGACTTGCAACAAAACCATTACTTGAGAATTAAAAAATCAGATCAGAATGTGAAATTTGAAAAAAAAAATTTTCTTTAAAGAAAATAATTTAACATTATGTAACTTTGTAAAATTTTTAATATTTTTAATTTTATGTTTCAGGCTGCTCTCAAAAAACCACATTGTGTCTTTTATAACAGGTAAAGATATTTTTTTTTACTATAATTATTATTATAATTTCATTCTTTGCTTTTCGAAGCTCCAGATTTAATGCATAATGAATTTTGTTGTAATTTACACTGAATAAGAAAATTTTATATTAATTTATAGGAAGAATGAAATGAAACCAATGGAAGATCCAACGTCTTTGGTTTGTATTTCTTCTCATTAATCTCTATTTTAAAAATTTATTTTCTTTTTAAAACTATTATTTTAATTATATGAGGAGTGTTCAAATGAAAAGGTGCAAAACATCATAATAATCAAACCGACTGAAACTTGAATATGCTGCTTTGGGATAATATAGTGTCTGGTGTGGTTGTGCTCATGTGCGACCACCTGCACATGATACAGGAGAGAAGCAGGCAGTTGTGTTTTCTGTTCAGTTGACATGGCTGTGCATGTGAAGTCATTGTGGTATTTACATTGCAAAATTTGACAAGCAGAGAGGTATTATCAGACTTCTGATTGTGAAAGGAGCCGATATTCATCGCCAGATATTGGCTGTACATGGGGAAGGACTGTGTGTCCGACAAGTCAGTGAGAAAGTGGAATGTCTATTTGAGTGATAACCTGAGACCATGCCGGGCAAACATGGTAATCACGACCGAACTCATTGAAAAGGTGCTTCTATGCTGATGTTGTACATATGCTAGGTTTGTCCATTTCTCTGATGTTTTTTAAGCAGAAACAGATTGTGTGTGCATGAGGAGAACAACAGTTAAGAAAACAAAGATGGCAGAATGTTTTCTTGAAAAAGGTAAACATTTTATTAATGGGGTTGCAGTTGATCAAAGTATCGAAAAAATCTTTTGAGGATCAGAGGACTAGGAGTGTCTTAAATAGGAGAATTCATTAAAAGGGAAAACTATTGAAAACAAAAAGATACATAGTGATTAATGAACAAATTAAAACTATCAGAAGAAATGGTTTACAAATTTTATAATTTTTAATTAATTAAATAAATGAGTAGTTTTCCAATAGCAACACCACCTCAGCAAGGTTTTCATGCCAAACTGCAAAATATTACTAAGTGTCGTTAGCATTCAAGAGGAAAAATGACCAGATGTAATTTTAAATATTTTCATTGTGAAATAACTGTCGCCAGACAAACTGTTTTGGCACCTTTCTGAAAGATATTGCTAAAATGCTAATATTTTTGGTTTTTGTCAAAACAAACTGGCTGTGTGAGGAGCCATCTTAATGTAATGCTGGTAACTTATAAGTTTTTGGTATATGAGATTCAAGAGTTCACATATAGTTAGTTACAAGTTGTAACACACACATAATCACATTTGTATTGGTTGATTTTATTAACTAATTAACAATAAGCAAGCACATTAACATCCATAGTATATTAATTGCAACCATGATTCTAATCTTGTCACATTCACAGATATCTACAGAAAATTATCTACAGAAAAAAATTTCTGTTTGAAAACTGACAATTTTAAAAGATTCGTAGAGTGGGCAAAAAGTCTGCAAAAACTTTAAAAATTTATAAAACCCATAAAATTAAGCAAAATTGTCTTATTCAAGTCTAATTTTAGTTTGCAGGTTTAGCATCAATAAAATCACAAGTTTTTTTTTTTTTTTTTTTTGTTTTTTTTTAAGAAAAAAAATAATAATTAAAAAAAAAACAGCCGATAGGTGGCATTTTGAACAAAAGTAAAAGAAAAGACACATGGATAACAAAAATAATGTTACCAAATCATTTATTATAGCAATATGTGTTCACATGGCCACCACTACAGGTGATAGCACATTGCAGGTGTGCCACAAATCCAGCAACGGCAGAGTGCAGCTCATGACAGCTCTTGGTGCATTGTATCTTTCAATTCTGACAGATTGGATTAACGGGATCCATATGCTCAGAATTTTAAATATTCCCATAGCCAACAGTCTACTGTTGTCAGATCTGGAGGCCATGAAAACTTGCAATATCTGCTAATGATTCTCCCTGTCCCGAACAACTGTATCAAGAATTCCTTAACAGGAATAGCAGTGGGACTTGTTGCTCCATCTTGCATAAATGTAACAGTGGAAAGTACATCTTTTTCGTGCAAACATGGAACAACCTTTTCATGCAGAAACATTAAGTAATGTTGAGCATTTACCAACTCTGTTTTCCACCCATTTACTGGACACTGTGTTTCAAAGAAGATGGGTCCTATTATGTATACCTGAATAGGCATTATATCATTTCATGAATTCTTCTGGATTTAATCTGAGTACTGTTATTATTGAAGAAATAAGATTAGCAAATTCTGCATGTCCTAAATACATGTAATTTTTTGAACAAAAAAAAAAATGTTTAATTAAATCTGAAAATTTAAAGATAAAAAAAAAATAAGAGGAAGAAGTTGATTACATAAAGCAAAAGAAAATTCTTTTTCAAAAATATGTTGTGGAGGATATTAACAAATTCTTTAGCAGAGGATACAGAAACTAATAATATTGATTTGCTTATTAAAGAAAATGAATGTAGAAAACTAGCTAGAGAAAGAAATAGATATTTAAAATAAAGAAATAAAGAAATTACAGATTAAAAAGATACAAATAATCTTGTGTTATTAATGCTTTACAGCTTTTAGTGCGTAATTATTCTAATATCTTTTTAATCCTCCAAGCATTACGGGTTTAGCCCTGAAACTTTAAAGTTCCTCAAAATGTCATGAATAAATGGTGTTTTTTATTATAATTAAAAAGCAACTCTCTCACTTTGTACCTTGATTCCTTTTCTTCCAATTTTAATCCAACCCGAAATCAGATACATTAAAAGGTGTCAGAAATGTTCATGTGTAATGGAAAGCCACCTTTCTATAAGAAATTTTATGTCCAGAGCGCTGAGAGGCTTAAAGCCAGTGTAATAAATTATATATATAATCATCTGTTCTTTAAACTAGAAATTTTTTTATAGATTGTGATATAAATAGTGCTTTTTAAATAACTATTTTAAAAAAATAAAGACATTTTGGTAATAAGTTGATTCTACTATGCAATCAACCACTTTCAGTTTTCTTGGGGGGGGGGTTGTTTTGGTCATTTCTTTTTCCTGCCACTTTGTAGCATGTGCAAATTTAAAAATAATGTTTTAATCATGCCATCTAAAAAATAATAACTAACTTAAAGCAGCAGGTCACATGCTACATGTTTACTGGAACTTTGTTTTATAGTGTCCTGTAAATCTTTCTTTAAAATATGTCTGATGGTTATATGTGTAAAATATAAATGTTTTAAGAAATCATTTCCTTAAGTTAATACTGATTACTTGATAACTTTTAGAGAATTTTTTTTCCCCTCTAAATTTGCTGTAATAAGTATAACATTGTTTAATAATACATTCTACACACTTCTCTTTTATTATCTGAATAGTGGTACAGGACTAAAGTTGATTGTTTAGATCAGTGGTATTCAAAGTATGGGTAACAGCTCCATTGGGGATTCCAAAGTAGATAAAAATCCTAAAAAATCTGAATTGAGGGTATATAACTAAGGATCAATGCTCTGTTTGTATTTGTGAAATTGTTTGGGGGCTTGTTTGCATTTTTGTGGGGTCACAGTGCCATAAAATTTGAATAGCACAGGCATACATAATTGCTTTAATTTATTCACTTCCCATTTGCTGATAGTTTTTTTTTTTTTTTTTTTTAAATATGTGGATTTTAAAAGCTGTTAGAGAGCCCTTAATTTTCATATTCAAAATGTGTACAAACCCTGGTAAGACTAAAATCATATAGAACTACGAGTGGTTTCTCTATATTATGAAAAAGTGAAATAGAAATGTAAGTAGTTAAGATGTGCATTTAATTATTCTTAAATCATTCAGTTTATTAAGCAGGTACTGTGATTTTTTGAAAGATTAATTTTCATCTTTTCTAATTCTTTATTTTCTGAGCTATGAAGAGGATAAATTAAAAGATTTTATGTTTAATGCGATCCCAAATTGTGAGGATGATAAGTTCTGTGGTAGTATAATATAATAGCTTAAAAATGGAAATGTTTCTAATGTCAAGTTTTATTGTGTAAGATGGGTGAACTCTCAGTACGGTTATTCAGTAGTAGGGTAATTATTGTAAAGAAAAATATGTGTTGAAACTGCAATATTCCTTTGTTAAAATGTTGCTCAGTAAAGAGCAGTTTTTGTGAAAAGATGATGCCTTATTATTGATTATATAATACTATAACATTTACTTATGTATAAATAAGTAAGTATTATAATCCTGTAACATGTCTAATAGCATAGCATTCATAACTTCTCGAAACTTTTCTCTATGTCTCTGACCTTCTGATCTAACAAGCTGTCACTGTGAAAAAAGAAATTACATGATTTTAAAACTACATATGTTGATCTGTCAGTGTAATAGCTATGTTTATAGAATGATGTAATGAAAATAAGTAGTACTCCCCCCCCATACACACTCACACATTTTCCCTGTGCCCATTTTAAAATAAATACATGTTATTTCCTTAATCCTTCCTTAAATCATCCTTAATAACTTTTTAAAATATAAATTTACAGATTAAATATTTTTTCTTTTCTTATACTTTAGTTGTAGCATATTTTATGCATTTAAAAATAACTTTAAATTTCAGATAGATAAATTCAGTTTCTTTTATATTATAGGAATTCTTCTGTCAGAGAAGTGATGCATCTTTATTTATGTTTGGTTCACATAACAAGAAGAGACCAAATAATCTTATTGCTGGTCGAGTGTTTGATTCGCATATCCTGGATATGTTTGAATTGGGAATTGAAGATTTTAAATCTCTGAAAGATTATAAGGTTAGATATTTTAAAGAATTCATTCTGTTATTTATAGATATTTATGCTAAATGAATACATACACATATATATATATATATATATATTATTTAATAAAAGTTTAATTGACATCTTTTATTTGTAATAATTAGAACTGCACAGTATTTAATAAATGTGAACTTAAAATGTTGTTATATAATAGATGTACTTTAATCACATTTATGTAGTAAGTAGTATTTGAAGTTTAATACATAATTAACCAGTCATTATGTTTTTCACATTTGGTTTAAACAGAAATGTTTCAAATTTTATGTAAAATATTTCATCAGTTACTTTCATTCTTTATTTCTGTAAATGTTATGCGTAATATGGCACAGTTATGGGAGAAATGTATTTGTAGAAAACATATTGCACTTTAAAATTCTTTTTTATTGTATTGCATTTTAAGATTTCTCTAATTTATAAGCAGAGCTTTTTCTCCCCATATGGTATTGAATGTTATTCTTTCTGTGCATGATATGTGCTTGTAAATCTTTTATCAGATTAGGTTTTCATAAGCACGTTTGATACATGTGCGAGTCTTAAATGATTAAGTTTATAGAGTTTCAAGATTTTTGCCATCATTCTTTTGTGCAACTGTATAGTGACAGTTAATCAGAATGATACATCAACAAATACTGAATCTTTGAAAACCAGTTATCTTAAATATTTTAAGCAGCTTTTCTTTCCATTGTATTTTTTAAAATAAATATAGTGAAAAATTTTATAATGACCAACTGTGTAATTAACTATTATATCTTAGAATCTAAGGAACTACTCTTATATGCGCCCTCAGGTCCCCAAATGCGACAACAAATTTCTTGCCAAACATTTTTGGCGAGAAACTCCACGGTGTCATATTACTATCTAAATTTTTTGTCTACATTTCGAACTTTAAGTCTAAAATATCTCCACGGTTTCCGCACATGCAAAATCACGTTTTGAACACACAATTTAAGCTAAAAATCTGAAACAAAAACAAAAAATTTAGATAGCAAAAACATAAGGTTTCTAACCAAAAATATTTGGTAGTAATCTATGTACACAGTGATATGTTTTAACTTTAAAAAAAATCTACAAATTGCACAATCTAGCCAGCGAAGAAATCTACGAACTACACACACCTCACTTTAATAAATTAACATAACAATAATAAATTTCAAATACATGTACACAGCATTCTGTTTAAACTTAAAAAAAAAAAAAAAACTACAAATTGCACAATCTAGGCATTGAGTACAAATCAACAAAATAAACTAAAATAAATTACAAATAATTAAAAATACAACAATAACAACAGAAATTTGTAGTAAAAAAACAATGAGCATAACATTTTACAAGATAAAAACAATAAAATAAAATGCACTAACCTTAATTGTTGCTTCTTCGGACAGCAGAATGTAGCTTTAACATGCTGCCACATACTCTCTGTGGTATTTATATGACAGCCAGACTCGCTATCTGCAAAATTCATACTATAGTTCACAAATAAATGTTCAAAACCTTCTTTTCCTAAATCCTTGTAAGATTTCCAGCCATCCGAGAAAATAGTTGTACAAGGCTCGATCCACTCTTTGATACACTGCATCAGCGTTTCCTTACTTCTATCATGCACAGCCACTAAATTATCTCCCAGACCCTCTTGCAACCACATCTCTCATTGCAACACAGGCCATTTCAAAACACGCACAACACGAACCAACAAGCAATTAAACTACTCCAGCAAAAGAGTTTTCAACGTCAAAAGGGTTGCCATACAACACACAATCGTGCCAAAAACCAGTACAGAACACATATCGCCACATTTGGTGATCTTAGGGCCCATATAAGAGTACAGCTTAATCTAATTTAAATAAATAATATTAAATATCATTAGTAGTCGTGTTTGCTAAGATGTACCACCTCCACAGAAGACCAAAAACATCTGAAATTAAATATGATCATTTGAGGGGAATTTAACTTTTAAAATGAAAATAAATTACCTTATTAAATTATATGTCAAAAAGTGTACTTGATTACAAAAATTATTGTAATTAGACATAAAGTGAAACTGTTGTTCATGAATTCAGTTTGTTTATGAAGGCATTTGTCAGCCAAAATGTTCGAAAATTGAAAGAATGTTCTCTATTAGAATTATTGTAAAGTGGGTTAGTTGCTTTCTGAACCATGAATGACTAGATATTCAAACTTTACTACAGCAGTACTTTGCGTACATATTTATAACCCCAAATCAATCAAAAACATTAAATAAATATATATATCTATATATATATATATATATATATATAAATCTGATATGGACACCACGTGATTTCCTTGTACAGACTATTAAATTATACACATTTTTTGTTGCACTTCATTTAAACTTATTTCCTCAAATTTCATTAGAGATACATTTCTCATTCAAGCATTTCAGTTCTGACTTTGTGGCAAAGCAAAAATACATAAAATCTCAAAACACTCTTAAAAATTATAAAATACAGAAAAACCAAATACAAAACACCAAATACAGTTAAAAATAATGACAGGAAAACAATTTTTGCAATTAAAAGTAGAATTTCTACTCAAAAAAGAAGCAATTTGGCAAATGGGCAGAAAGACAAAATTTTTGGTGCATAATTATTTAAAATTAATTTCTGATCCCACTAGGCATAAAGACACAGAAGTTGGTGCACCAACCAACTTAATTCACTATACTACTAACGGATTCAAATATAATGAAATGCCCACCAATTATGTCTAGTGACAATTAAACTTTTAAATTGTTAAAACTATATCATGCAGATTAATTAGAGGCATACAATTTACCAACATGTAAGAATAAAAAACTGAGCTTACTGAGGTGGTAACATGATGAGAATATATATATATATATGTTTGGTGCTGCCGATTGCAATGAAAAAAGGAGATGCACAACTAGATGCTATAGCAGTCCCAAATATAAAATTTCAAAATTCTGTGGCCACTCTTTTTAGTTATGTGAGATACGTAGGTACAGGTGTTGTAGATTTATTAGGATTTTTATTGCAGCAGGAGACATAAAAAATGAGCATTGCCGTTTCAGAGACTTGAACCTGGACCTCTCGAATACATGCCAAGTGTGTTAACCATTATTACACGAAGGCATGGCGGAAGGGGGGCGAAATATCTTATAGTGTCACAAAAAAACTCTTCTGAGTCCATTTTGCAATTCATTTTGGAAAAAAAAGAGTCCTTTATCCTGTCTGTAGGTACAGATGTCACTCAAAAACATTGTTCAAATGGATTCAAGAATGGTTACAATGGATTCGTTGAGATATGATACCCAAAACTTTTCTTAGTCACAATACTTCCTTTTTACTTCATACAAGGAAGTAAAAGTAAACGCAAAATTGAAGAGCTAAAGTAGACAAAAACATAATTTAATTTTACTCTACCTATATGAAGGAGAATGGTTTCCTTAAGTAGAAATTATATCTTTAGGAAGTTCCTTCTTTAGTCTTTTCTTTGTCTCTTTATGCTGCTTGACTTTGCTTGAAACTCACTGTGTCTCTGTTTGACTCAAAATTTGTTCAATTGTGATTTGTTGTTACCTAAGTTCTAAAATGTTTCCTTAGTGAGACATGGCATTTTCATTGAAAATGCTTATGCTGTAGTGTACTACTGCTTTATCAGATGTTTCGGTATATCAAAACTATGCATCTTGTATTTTTCACAAATTTCACTGATCAAAGGACTAGAATTAGTTATCTTTCTGCCTCTTCTTCTGAAAACATTTCTTCTACAATCATGTTTTGTTGCTGCTTCTGAATTATTGGGGTTCTTTCTTGGTATTGTTCTGCTTTGAGCTCATTTTTATGATCCTCCAGTTTCTATATATTCATTGTTAATTTCCTAAACCATGATTTTGTCTACAGAGACAATATAATAAATAAAAAATCAAAACTTTCAAAATCTCTGCATTCTACCCAATGAGACCATAATTTCCTGTAGGCCAACTTCGTGGTCCTGTAAGTAGTCACTTGCTGCCAGGCTTTGTTAATGAGAGTTAAGCAATGAAAATTATTAAAATGGTGTTTCAAGAACTCCTTGATTATTAATTATTAGGTATAAATTATCTCAAAACATCTTTAACCATCTTCTGTTATGTACTTCAGTATTCATAACTGCAAATATGCTGCATCATCTAAGGCAGATAATATGTTTGTGATCCCGTGTGTGGTTTTTTGGAAATGGTTAAATGTTAGTGATTAAGGATTTCTTTCTCCTTGTTTTTTGCTGAAGTGGAAACTAATGTTGTATTACTAAATTTCAATGTGTAAATTTGTTTCTTGAAGAATATCAAGTGTTATTCCATTTCTCACTACTTATTTCTCCATTTATTTTGTAACGTCGACACAGCATATGTTATTCTGGCCTTTAAAGTATCGATATCATGAACTAATGTGATGTGGTCTAGTCTGCCATTTGAACAGTATCATATGCTACTAGATTTTTTTTTAATTTTGTATGTCGGTTCTAGATGGGTTTATCATCAACAGCATTGCATACATACAAACTTCTTAAACTTCTGTTGATGGGTGATTTAGTTTCATGACACCATGAATGAAACCTTACGATTCCCCCCTTTTCTGTCTTCTTTGATGCTATTTTGTTCTTCGCTATTCTGGTACTTGCTGATTATCCGCAACCCCTCCGAGAAGTCACCAACTTGTTTTGATTTATTTTTTGCCAAGCTAATACCCAAAAGGCTTCAGCCATTCTGTAAATGGCACTATCCTAAGAATTCCATAAAAAAGCAAGAAGCATTCATGATAAAATATGGTTCTATTCTGTTTTGAGGACCGTAAAAAAATTTCATCGAAAATGTATGCATAAAAGCGCCAAATCTAGCAAACGTGCCCATCAAACAGCGCGGCAAATCTAGCATACGCGCTGATTTCAAATTGCGTAAGTTTAGATCATTCTATATTTCTTAAGACGCCATTGAAATACTAGTTTAA